GAGTTTTGTCACTTATATGGCCTTAACCCGTTTCGACTAGGTGGACCTCGGCTGAGTTGACGGACCTACTAAGCTGGTATCCGGAGCCGCATTTCACTCTACCCTCGCGACTTGCAGTGTTGGCGGGCCACTGCTCTTCGAAGCCGAGCGTTCCACCTCTCCACCTCTCCCCTGGCCTTCCCATCTTGATGCCATTTTACGATTTTTTTTATTTACGATTTATTATTTATCTCACTAACTATATCGGCTACCTGTTACATTGTAACTATGTTTTGTTATCAGTAATCACCGATAATAAATCATAATCATAAATAAACAATTGAAAAAACGAATTTTTCAGAACTAGCTGCAATGGACCTCAAAAGCAATTTTACGTTGATTATTCCAATCAAAACACACATATTGTCATCCCTAAGGTTCCTTATCTACTTCTACTACTATTTAAATCTTCACATTAATAAGAAAAAAAGTAAACGAAAAATTTATTGAAATGAAGATTTCGTATGGTTCAGAAATCCTCCTCTAAATTAAAGTATACGTGACCATTCTATGGGGCCACTATGTTTGTAGCTACGTCAAGGTCTCTTCCAGGAATGAATACAAGAAACTTCTAGAAGAATCAGGCGTGCGCGAAAAAAATTGAGTGTAATGGGTGCGGGGGATATATATCCCGCACGGTCCGACATGGCCTGCAATGCGCGGCATACCCGCGTTGTCTCAATGTGTTGATCCGTCGATGGAAGCTGTTTGGTATCTGGAGGAGAGTTTTCAAGGTCACCCTGGAGCCGAAAGTTTGAAAAGTTTGTTTTTTTTTTTTTTTTTTTGTTTGTTTTTTGTTTTCTTTTCACTTTGCGAAAATCTATATATGTCTGCTAAATGAGGAGCCAAATCTAGTAGACTATCGGTTTTTGCCTTCTATGGTTGGTTCCTTTATGCCTTTCTCTATAGGTTTTCCGCTTCGGAGCAGCGAAAAGGGAAGGTTCCATGAGAAATGAAAAAATAGAAAGAAAATAAACACAAAGCGTGACTTGATTGGCAAAAAATTTTGGAAACATCTTCAAGTACAAGTTTTTCAACAACTGGAAGATGGCTGTTTCTTATCGGACTCATTGTATTCCATCCTCACATTTTCAACAGTGATGACTTTAGGTCACTCATCCATCTTCAGTCATTCTTTTTGAAGGTTTCTTTTTTTTCGTGTAGTTGTGGTCTTATGCACCTGGCAGAAAAAGGGTATACTTTGGACAGTGCGCACCAGCAAAGAAAGGGCGGTTGACGCCGTATCGTGGCGATAATCTTCGCCATGAATCCGGCTGCACGCAGAGGGAATGTGAAGCGCATCTCACCGCGTAGCATGCACCATCTATCTACGGCCTCCATTACGTGGGCAGCTTTTTTGAAGCAGGAAAGCGGGCTCAATTTGATGGATTTCAAGTGTGGAATAATGAAGGAGAAGCAGGAGAACCCAAAACAGAGCGTTAATTTGTTCATCTTGGTTGACCCAAAAAAGATCCAGTACCGTTTCCTGGACATATGTAGGGTCAAACGTTGTTTGTTTTTTTTTTTGTTTTTTGTTGCTGTTTGATCGCTAGGAACCCAAGTGTGAAATCTCATGCATGGCGCGCTGTAACTCCATTTTAATGCAACTGATAGATTCACATAAGAGAAGGAATCGGGAACACTGAAAGATCGTTCGTAATAATAATAATAATAATAATAATAATAATAATAATAATAATAATAATAATAATAATAATAATAATAATAATAATAATAATAATAATAATAATAATAATAATAATAATAATAATAATAATAATAATAATAATAATAATAATAATAATAATAATAATAATAATAATAATAATAATAATAATAATAATAATAATAATAATAATAATAATAAAATCTATACTTATTCTATGGGTTGCATTGTGTCTTCGATTTGTATCTATTAGTTACTCATCAGGTAAATGACTTAAAGGCAATGTTAAGGCTCAGATCTACCGAAGAAACTCTTACCATGGCTAGAAATGCTGGTGCAAGTGGCAAAGGTTAGCCCCACCTTTCTACAATTGGAGAACGCGTCGCTAAGGAGTCCCAGTCCAGGACGCCTAGGCCATGGCAAGGGTCAACCCGTCCGTTGGACAAAGTCCAACGAGGATCGTATTCGGCCGACCGAAAAGGGGGGGGTCGTATTCGCAAGGGTCAACGTCGCAATACGTAGGAGAGAGGCATAACTTTCGAGCGCTTCTTCAACTACTAAACCACAAACGAGTGCATGGCGCACCTCAGAGCAGAAGAGTCCACTGCAGTAGTGTCCATATGTGACTGTTCACGTACACAAATATGCTTCTGAAGAGAACCAATGTTCAAACTGAACCTATGTTAGTAAAAGGGTGACCACTTGGGTAGATTGACTGCTAAAGGCTCGCAATAAAAGTTTTGAGAAAACATTATACGAAGCAACCGTTAAATGAAGAAGAGCGCCTCTCTGTGAATTCTTAATTCTCTACCTATAACTAAAAGAGTTCTGGAGATGACTGCATAAATGTGGTGGATTTCTGAAACTAGCAGTCTCTTAGATTACAAATCTACTTGACGTTCAACAAACGATTGGCGCTAACTCACTAAAAATCTGGATGTAACGCAAAATAGTAGTAGCGAAGCAGGTACGCAAACACATACACACAGTTACCAACTGTACAGAACACAATATTTGTTTGGGGAGGGGTCGTATTGAGGAGGGGGGTCAGTAAAATATTCGAAATTGGTCCAATGTGACGGTTGACCCTGGCGCCATGGACTTCTAACAGACTCCACCAAACTTAACATGGTCCGCCCACCGTTCGATATCTTGTCTGCGTCGCCACGTTGATCTGCTATGCTCTCTCTTCGGACTTCTCTACCACTCTCCGCGCTCACATTATCTCTCATCTCCCTGCCTGTCTTTTGAACATCTCCACAGCATGGAAAAATGCTCATATTTCCTGTGTATTTCAGGATTTCCTTTTTTCTCCACTGGCGGTCCACCTCCCATCCCTACTTTCACATTTGAGTGGAATCACCCCATCAATTAATCCTGATTCTTGCCTTTAAGATTTTAAATTCAAGTAATCAATTTGCCATCTTAAAACGGACCTCATAAAGTGTTCAGATCTAGCCCGCCCAATGTACTGCATCGCTATAGTCCGAGGTATGAAGAAGCATGACACTCCTAGGTCAGCAGTGTTTGTAGGATTTGAAAGCCGTAAAGAATGCGCGTCAAATGTAAACTCGCTCAAAAAAGGTGTTTATCGCTTTCATATCACAACGTGAAAGGGACACCCAGGCAGAGGTCGTGTGAACGCTTCCTTCGGTCTGTAGTATAGACCCCTAGAGGACAATCACAAATGTGGCGTTCCGTGCACGGAAACCAACCGACAAGAGCGCTTGGGCCTTGCAAAGTAAGCTGCTGAAGCTGCAGATTTTTTTTTCTCTTATCAGGCTGTTGTCTGGCGCCCTCTCATCTGCTGCGTTCTAGCACAGCCGATTACGAAGGTGAGTGAGCCCTCAACCCAAGCATGCAAGAGCTACACCAATAAGATCCTAGGGAATGCTTTCGAATCGTCTATTAGAATCCTTCCCTCTCATCAAATAGCAGCGTCAGTGTGTCAAAAAACCCTGATTATCGGCTGTGTCTCTTACAGAACACCACCTGTTCCTCCCTCCATGAGCGAGTTTCGTTCCACTTCACTGCCTACTGTCCCGGGCCACTCCTTCAATCGTCGTCAAGCATTTCCCATAGAGCCGTCACACGACGAAATCGGAATGGTCTGAATTCACGACGGAGCATTAGGATTCGGAAATAATCGTGCCGCTCTCATCCCGGCCTCCTGTTCCTTTGCGACATCGCCGCTCACGGAGGTACCTCGCCAGCTGGGGCTCTGGAACCAGTTCAGCCTCTCCTCAACGAAACCACCGATTCGGCTACTCATTGTTCGAAAGCGGCCGTTTCGACATTTTTCTCTACAGTCCGAAACCTCAGTAGACAATTTTACGCAGCTCTGAGAGAAACTGTCTGCTGAAGATCAACTACTAGAACTTTAAGAATTTTGCTTATTGCCATTACCACTTACTTATTCGCGAAATTATCGAAAAGGGCACGGAGCAGGCCTAACCGACCATATTTTCTTCTAGATTCTAATTTCACTGTGGTGAGTAGAATTGAGAGCTTCACTTCTTGCTCAAAACTTGTCAGCTATCTAAAAATCGTATTTAATGTGGATCCGTCTGATCCATAACTATCCAGACACTTTGCTATGGACTGCAACCAAATCTGATGTCACTGCTTGCAATGAACTCTTTAGCGATAGTGATTACAGAAATGGGGGGGGGGTCAATTCTCGAAGCACATAGACAGTATGTCTACCTTGACCATATGAAGTGTTGCAGGACTTCTCCATCTATTTAGCCTTATAAAAAGTAGATAGAGTTTCGAATTGTGAAACCTTGGAACAAGGCACTAAAACACACGTGTGTGTGCATTTGATGACATTCTACGATTGTTTCACTGCGCCGTCATTTTTTGGAACATGGATTGATAAGGCAAGCGCTGCTGAAAGAAGCAAAGAGAGAGCATTCCGCACGGCAGAAGGCGAACAATCCAGCGACGTGCTATATGCCGCGATTTGATAAGAATGGCAGCGATCGCAGCGGTAAAGCGAGGGCATGGCAGCGGGCCCCTCCTCGCTCAGCTCGCCACAGGACCACTAGTCCCGACCGTGACTTTTAGTTTGGGATAGTTCGAAGATTTCCTCTCTCACAGTTTTTTTGTCATACCAATCGCATCATTCGAAAGACACTCCTTTCATTCTTTCAAGGTGGACATTAGAACGAAAGTCGGCTACGCCATTGATGTCGCTTCTGGTCTCGATTATTTGCATTCCAAAAATTGCATGCATAGGTGGGCCACAATCAAGATAGTATGATATAAAGTACCTTAAACGTTCTGACATAGGGGAATCGCGTGCCGGAACTGCTTAATAAACGTGGCCGAAAGTGTTGTGAAGATTTCTCACTTCGGTAAATCCAAACAAGCAGAGAAGTACGAGATTCCAAAGGATGAGAAGCTTTCACTTCAATGGTCTGTCAGAACCAGAACTTTTACATAACTTTCTCGTGAACTATTGATTCAGGCAGGCTCCAGAAGTGATTTTAACCAGGATCTTCACGGCAAAATGCGATGTATATTCGTATGGTGTACTTGTCTGGGAAATATTCAATAACGCTGAACCGCCGTTTGATGGTATCGATGAAGAGAAGTTGAAAGCTAAGGTAATGCACCCGAAAATCTAAGGAATTGTTTCTGTGTGTTGCTCGGCGTCGGGGCCCACATTTCTGATATTTTGACGCCTATTTTCCTCTGAGCGGTTCATCAGGATGAAAGGCAACTCATTTCAAGTCTTCGTGCAACGTATCAAGCCAACGCTGCTTCGGGCACCCCTTAGGCCGCTTCACCGGACACGTCAAGGTTAAAGCTAATTTTGCGGACACTCACCATTCGACCTGACCGTTCTGTCACAAGACGAGCTTCGTGGATGTTGTCCGCAATAGAAACTGCACTGACCGCGCTCTTATGGCATCGTTGCGATAAATCGGTTCCCCCGGCCCTCCAGCGCAGCATTTTCGCCCATCACTCCGGGAGAGCCCCAACTTCTTTAGTCGTTACCGTGATTGGGTTTGGTGAGTGTGTGATGGATTTGAAAGCAATGGTTCTGTTTTAAACAGAATTGAAATACGAAAAACTGGTGTGGAACAGGGAAGGTATGCACCCATCGGCAGCCAAGAAAGCGAGTGTCGCTTCCGCAGCGAAAGGCGTGTTAGTTATAGAGCAGTTGGGCCTCAATCGCACTCCAAGGCCGCCCCGCCTCCTAGTGAGATTCTGCAACATTGTTATCATTATCGTTCGATTTTTATTTCGCAAGTGGTTTTCAATCCAGACACCATTTCTTCAAATCCTGTCGTTTCTTGTACTCTATTCGGGATATTTAAACCAAAATGGCCGGTATATAATCCGAAATTTCGTTCAAACTGTAAACAGAATGAGACTTCCAGTTGTAGGGTTTTTGACGACTTGTTTTGAAATTTGCCACTTGGGACCTCCATTTGACACCTCAGCTTTTAAATTTCGTCAACATCAAGTTATTTTTATCATAACACGTCAGCATTGTCGGTATATCGTCCTTAATCTAGGTAACCTCAGCTCCTTTTAGTGTTTCAGATAAGTGATCCGAGCTTCCGTCCTCGGTTAGATCCTGAACTTCCCCTCATTGCGCGCAAAGTAATGATGACGTGTTGGCAAGCAGATCCAGGGAAAAGGCCTGTGATGACAGAAGTGACGCTTTTCCTTCTGCAGGCTCCACCTGAAATGTGAGTCATACCTTTAAACTGACTTATTATAGATGAAAGGGAAGAAGGCAAATATAACACAGCTCGCAATGATGGGTAGTGTGTATGTATGTTGCATCAACAGTGAAAGAATTGTATACCAGCCATTCATCAAAGTGTTTCAGTGAAACGGAACTATTAGGTCGGTCCATAATTTTTGAGAACCTTTGGTGTTTTTCGATTAATTACTTATCTTATTTCTCTGATGTATTTATTCAGCACAGTATACATCACCATTATTACCAACATATAACCAATGCGAGGGTGGGTATTCAGTGTCCCTCTTGTAGAATTTCATAGAGTTCTGATCGAAGAAATATTGGATGTCGATTTTGACTTTATGGTGATTCAAGTGAGATTTCTTCTCCAGAAGGTGATTGAGAGAGGAGAGCGGATAGTCGTTCGTTGACGCAGGATTAGTGCTAAGGCGGAGCTAAAAGAACTGACCGCCCGAGAGTCTCCAATTTTTTAGGAATTTTCTTAGCAAGGCGGGCTCGAACGACCTCAGAGAAAAATAGATTTTGTCTTCCTTTGCTTTCAAGTTGAAGGCGTTGCCATCAAGCTGTCAACGATTCTTCCCATCACTGACACTGGTATTAGTTGATGCCGGTCTTCAGCGCAAAGGCCCTCCCGTATTGCGCCAACGACTCAGGAAGTTCGAATTCAGAGGGAGTTGGGTTTGTACTGTCAGAACTCCCGAATCGTTTGAGCAAATCTACTGCGGCTCGTGGATTTGTTAGCACATTGCACCCAGTCCACATCACCAATGAGTATTATAGATGGTCATCCGAAGGAACTATAGGAAACCTACAGGAACTTGATGATGTCGGATTGGGTTGAGAACTGATTCGGGACTACAATTTTCCTTCGATCAGAACTCTATGAAAGTCCACAAGAGAGGCACTGAATACCCACCCTCGCATTGGCGATATGTTGTTAATAATAATGATGTATACTATGCTGGATAAGTAGATCAGAGAAATAAGATAAGTAATAAATCGAAAAACACCAAAGGTTCTCAAAAATTGTGGACCTGGACCGACCTAATAAATAGCAGTCAGCCTAGTTTTCTCTTGACCACTATCAATGAGTACTGCAACGTCGCCGCCATCAGGATGTGCCCTGTCGAAATGATCCCAAGAGCTTGTGAGCCCCTCAATCGAGAACGTGTCTTAAAATACAAAATATGTTCCTTTGCATGTTAGAGTCAGTTCACCGGGCCCGACGCTGAAGTAAATTTACTTCGATGTGTGCTGAGCCACCCTGAGGCCGACCTGAAAACGAGTCGCAATTTAGAGAGAATTAGCTTGCTTCATTGAGTGCTTTATTGTCTCGCTGCCCAACAATAGCCAAGAAACAATGCAAGAGTACAAGCTCGAAAGACAGTACGTATATAGTCACGGTTTTATGCGGTCTACCGGAGGAGTGAGTTTACAAACAAAGAAGGCTGAAGTTGCTAGCCAAAAAAACTTTTTTAGAGATTCTCCTCATGCGGAATTCCCCTCTACTGTGATATCCCTCCTTAGATGTGAGGTTATCTGTCACCAGTTTTGCTCCGTCCGCTATCGCGCGCATGTCAACATAGGCTTCAGTGAAACTGAGTATAGCCGGGCTATTGTATTGAGTAACATACTGCTTTCAATGGATTTGACTGATGGTATTAAGAAAGCAGATGATAAAGCAGTAATTTCTCATAGTTCGTCAATACCAATAAACATCCATCATTTTTCTAGAACTAACAAAGTCTAGCTCAATGACCTTTGGATAACTAACACAATTACTTGGGCTCCTTATTATCAGCACTCGGCGTAAACATCTACCATGCTTTCGATATTAGGATGAATGACCGATCCGAACTATGCCGAAGCGGGATACTTTTTATGCCGGTGATGAGATAGAAACAGGGTCAACCGCCCGTTGCGCAAAGAACAACGAGGGGGTCGTATTCAGCCGACCGAAAAGGGAGGGGGTCGTATCCACAGACGGGCTGCAAGACGGCTTGAAAAGTGCAGTGTCCGGGAGTGCACTTTCACGCTCTAATGTTCTCCAGGAGCTCTGCACCGTGCAGCTGTCGGAGAGTCACACAGACAAGAGCTCCATGGGAGCATTAGAGCATGCAGAGCATTATAAGTCTCACTATCAGCCATTATTATCCTTAATACACGGACGGCGCTTTCGCTCGACAGCATAGATCAAGATTACAATAGCCAAAAACAAGTGCAAAAACATGGTCTGTCTTCGATGATCGAACATTCCTGAAATCCCAAGGAGAACAAAGTGTAGAGCAGTTCATGGGGAAGTGAAACAAGAGTACCATATAACAATACAATGCAATTCAATCACGATACTAACAGCATCCATGCTTTGCGTAACGAAAGGTGATGAGCCTGTGACACAGGTGAAGAAGATGGTTCAGGTTGATGTGCTTCATTATCGTTTTTAAAATGTCACTTGGGCTGCTTATTATCACCCCTCACCGTAAACATCTACCATGCTTGGATACTGGGATAGTTTAGCGGTCTAATAACTTCTTTTACCGGTGATGCCAATTTACACATATTTCCACAGACACCGACCATCTTAGGAAGCTCGGGCAGATTAGCGGTCGAATGGATCACGACTACATCGCAAAAAAATGAGATGTTTTCTTATCCCACATCTGGATAAGAACTTCAGTACATTTGCTTGTATCGCTCCTTATCAGCCCCTATCAGCCGTTATCACTTTCTGGTCCCCATCAAATATGTTCCCGTCCCACCCCCTATATCATATCTGCAAAGCAACGCCTCAATGCTGCTGGGCC